TAAAACAAAAATACAAAAAATAAAGAAAAAGATTTCTGTGCACTTAAACTGAAAATGAAGTACCCCTCGAGTACACATTGCTGTTGATTGTAGAGGGTGGTCGGTAGACCCCTTCCTTTATTTTGTTTAAACTATACCGCATGCACGCGTGCGGGCGTGCTTGTGCTTGCCTACAGTCGCTCACCACGGCGCCTTATGGCCCCGTGTGAGTATGCAACGCGTCCACACGCCGACATGCAGTACAGTGTATAGGGGTCTGTGGACCACCCTGTTCTTCGTGCATTGTACTCACGCTTGCAGCGGGGCAGCGGCCGGTCCCACTGGCCCGTGCTCTCGCACATGAGCCCGGGCCGCGGGTCGAGCGTGTAGCCGAAGGTGCAGGCGAAGATGGCGTGGCCGCCGTACGAGTTGTTGAGCTCGACGAGGCGCATGCGAGGGTCGCTGAGCACCAGGGCCGGGCAGCGGATGGGCACGCAGGCGGGCGGCGGGTGCGACCAGTGCGCCGACCCCGTGCACGTGACCGTGGCGGCGCCCTGAGCGAGGACAGCGTGAGACGGGCGCGCACGAGCAGCAGGTCCACGTCGTCGTTCAGCGCAGCCCAAGTACTCACCTTGATGGTGTAGCCCGTCGGGCAGGAGAAGGAGGCGGTCTGCCCGAGGCGGCTGCCCTCCGACCTCACGGAGAGCGCGGGGTCGCGCGAGGCCAGGCGGTCGGGGTCGCAGTGCACGGGCGCCACCCTCACCGTCACGCTGTTGGTGGCCTGCTCCGGGGCCGGGGTGCGGCACGTGTACGTGCCCGAGTCGGTGGGCTTGCTGTAGTAGATGGACAGGCGGTACTTCCAGTCGCGCTCGTCCGACGCGATGGCCCAGCCCGTGAGGTACTGGCGGTGCGTGGCGGTCCACGACCACTCGGGCGTGCCCACCTTGCGCGAGTACAGGCACTCGAGGTGCACGATGGAGCCCGGGAAGACGGCCAGCTCGCCGCCGGGCTCGACGGACGCCGAGCCGGTGGGGATGCGCAGCAGGATAGTGGGCGGCGAGTCGGGCGCGAAGTTGGTGAGCACGGTGGTGGGGACGCAGTGGGGCACGCGCTCCGACCACTTGCCGTTCTGGCACTGCAGCGAGGCCGCGCCGCGCAGCTTGTACATGCCCAGCTCCCGGCAGCGCGCCTGCAGCACGGCGTCGTGCGGGAACAGCAGCTGCGACGCCTGCATCACAAAACGTTTCAGAATTGTTTCACTGAAACAACTTTTCCACCAAATAATATTTCCCCGGAAATTGACGTCCCCGGCTGGCAGGCGATGCGGCGCATTACCTGGATGGTGACGTTGCGGTAGGTGAGCACGACGTGGCTGGGGACGTTCTCCAGCAGGCAGCTCCGCAGTATGGGGTGAAAGCGGCCGCCATCTGCGCAACGCACACACAGTGAGGGTCACTCGACGGCCTCATCTCTCTATCTCCCTCTCTCTCTCTCTCTCTCTCCTGCCCCTTTCCGTGCGGCCCCCACACCCTCACCATGCTGCTCACCGTCCTTTTGCTCGCACAGTGGCCCGATCCACTGGCCCTCCACGCACTTGATCTTGCACAGCTTGCGGTCCCGGGTGAGCGGGTCGGTGATCTCCGCCACGAACTTCACCTCGGCCACGCTGCTGTAGTCCTTGGGGTGGCGCGCGGCGTGCGCGGGCAGCCCGTTGAGCCCCAGCAGCGGCGCCGAGCAGCCCACTGCGGGCAGGATAGGAGGAGGACGGCCTCGAGTGAGAAGAGACAGTCCCGCCCGCACTCAACTAGACTCTTCCCCTCTCCCGGTTTTTTGTTGCATGCCCCCCCATCCCCCCACCCTGTTCCCCTCTAGCACGCAAATAATCTCCCGTCGACGGGGTACGTCCGGAGATCCACACTAAATGAGGAGGGACAGTTTTTTGTACGTATGTTAAATGTGTCCAATGTGGACATCTTAATCATTTACCAATTATACGGTATAAAGATAAAATTAAACAATTGTACCAAGTACAACTTGTACGTCTTTACAGGCAAATTTTTGTACCTGGTGAAGGTGCAGCACATGCACATCAAGCACAGATCCAATCCAACCTACGTACAAAAATTGCCGGCCCCTCCCCATTTAGGGTGGAGCTTGCGCATGCACACGCAGCATCCACACCTCGCGTTCACGTTAACAACCTTCATCTCCTGGCGCGGCAACACCACCGCGCCGCAAGACCCCCCTGCATACAGCTTGTGCTTGCTGCTCTTGCGAAATTACTGAGAGTAAAGCAGGGGGGAAAGGGGATAGCGAACGGGGGTAGTGAGGAGGGGATTATATTCCGGGGGAAAAAGGCTTTCCGGAAGTAGGTCAGAAGGGAAGAGGTTCATTAAAGGTCTACTTCTGAAAGGATTTCGTCCCCGGGCCGGGCGGGGCCGGGCGGAGCGCGTCGTCGGCGGTCTGCATTTAGTCCCGGGCTGGCGGCGTCACAGCTCCGCCGGGGGCTGCTGCTGGCGGCGGCGCAGCGGGGGGGAAAGGTCAGGGGTGGAGTGAGGGG